AGTTTTCACGAGGAAGAAAACAAGAACTTTGACTCGTAGTGTAAATCCTCAATTACACTCGGATCCGTACAATTACCCATAGTAATACCTTCGGAGTTCTCTCGCTACTTTTAAAACAGGAGCGGGGTTTTAGGTTTTAGGTTTTAGGTTTTAGGTTTTAGGTTTTACGTTACGCAGCACATAAAAACTACGCAAAGTCCCAACTGTGTTACATAACAAAATAAGTAACGCTTACTTATGCCGATCATAGGTTAATAGGTTAGGTTAATTGATAGTGTTTGGAAATCGCGCTCTTACGCTGGCGCTTTGAAAGAAAACCCCATTAACCTATTCATTTTCTGAAAGCTTAATAGTCATAGAATACAACTATATCTTTTAAATTTTCTAAAAAGTTATTGTTGCAGTGATATTAAAAGAAATATCCAGAAACACTGCTTTGCTTAAACTGGTTCGCCTCCGCGCACGAATTATCGGAGCGGCGCGATTAACATCTGAAATGTTTTCGCACATATCACCCTCAAAAACGGTGGCGGCGATTTTCCAGACGTGGGTTGGTTTTTTTTTTCTACACCCTCCGAAAGTTTGATATTTTCAATGCAGACGTTTCCTTCTACTAAAGAGGCCTTAACTTTGAAACGGAAGCGAAATTAAACAACGCTTGACACCCTTTTTCGAAGGAGGTATCCTGGAATTCTGCCAATTCCGTCGGAAGACGCTCGTAAACGAACTAAAAATGTTCATCCTTATGTGCAGTTTTAGCCTGGGAACAGGCTCCCGGTAAGTCCGAACGAAGCCCCGATCTCTTCGGTCTCCGAATTCTTCTGTTTCGCGCTCGCCGAAATTTTTTTCCATCCTCGCCTGGAGCCTGTTCGCAGGCTAATGCAGTATTATTTTATTGAGAAAAAGACGAAAAACCTTTTATGAGATTGGCATGATTAGGTGTTAAAAATCAACTCCGTTGGTTTACCACAACGATGGGTTATGACAACTTGAAATGAACAGACGTCGGAAGCCCGTCGCAGTGAAATCGTCCGCCGAGAAGCGAGAAACAACCAAGAGCTTTATACAGGTTTTTATTTAAACTGACATGATTTCTTTTACTTAGAAGATTTCGTTGGCGGCGTTGGTATTATGTTGCTCGAGTTAAGGCTTCTTCGTTCTCCAGACATTTTTTGAGACCATGCCCCGTGAGGCGAAAAGAGGAAACCTCGAGGTCTACATCGTCTACATGTACATCTGCGCTTGATCTCTCGTCGTGGAAGTTTCGGAATCTCGTCCGTTCTCTAGCAATTCCGTGCGACTAGTACTTGTTGATTTTGTCCTTCAGCTTCATTGGCGGGACTAGTGTCCTCGAGTTCCTTCAACCATTCTTCTTTGCTACAGTGCGACCCACGGTCGCTCAGAGCCAAAGATCTCGTTCCACGCTGAACCTGTGGGTTCCACCAGATTTTCGCCTCTTCAGCTTCTTCGAAGACAAAAACGGGCGAGACGCTTTCTTGCGTTTTCGTCCTGACATAAAGAAAATTTGACAAGAACGAAAGCTAACTTGGGATGAAACAACCAGATCGAAAACAGTTCGCGTGCACAAATGAAATATCACACCGCAATTCTCATTACATGTGACAACTGGCGGTGAATTTTAATTGGAGGTGTCAATGCGCCGTAAGAGGTCACTGAAATTCAAAAATAGTTTTTCTTTTCATCTTAAAAAGTAAAAAAAGCTTTTTCTCCATTCTTTTTGCAAAATATTTATCTCAGTCTTCTCAATTTGAACAGCGAAAAAAAAGGTTTTTCGCATTTTACGTAAAAATCCACCAACCATGATACCTTTATATATCAAATGCATGACACGCCCGCTCTTGAATGTTTATTATTATTATTATTATTATTATTATTGTTGTTGTTGTTGTTGTTATTGTTAAATGTTCCATTTGCTTTTTCGACCAAGGAACGCGCTAACTTTTTCTGAAGATGGTGAATTGACGTTTATTGGAATCAAAACTAACGAAATTTGTACTGTGCACTTAGATAAGGAATTTTCTTGTTCTTCACCTGACACAGATCCCGCGTTTTCCACGCAGACCACGTGTGTTCTACGCAGTCCTCGTGTTTCAAAGCAGATCCCGTGTTTTCCACGCGCAGTCCCCGTGTTTTTCACGCAGTCCCCGTGTTTCAAGGCAGACCCCGTGTTTTCCAAGCAGACCCCGTGTTTTCCCCGCAATCTTCGTGTTTTCCACGCAGACCCCGTGTTTTCCGCGCAGACACCGTGTTTTCCAAGCAGACCCCGTGTTTTTCACGCAGACCCCGTGTTTTCCATGCAGACCCCATGTTTTCCACGCAGACCCCGTGTTTTCCACGCAGACCCCGCGTTTTCCACGCAGACCCCGTATTTTAAGGGCAGGGCGTTCTTATGGAGTTAACGGAGATTCGGCTTCTAGTCATGATTCTATTTTTAATACGGTTCTGTAACTGTTTTGTTTTTTTCTTTGTTTTGATTTAAAAGGTTTTGAGAGGTAGAATCATTTTGTCGTTTTACATAACTGGAGATAAAATGTGCCCCCGTGCCCGGGGTGGTACTCCCAGAAAAATTGGGTGGGGTGTGCGGCCAGCTTCCCAAAATCCTTACCCTATTTATGACCAAACTATATTCCCTACCCTATTTATGACCTGACCCTTGAATCAAAACCCTGTATCGGACTTGCGTTATAATTAGTTCCCTAACCTAGTTCAGACCAATGTGAAATTACCGTAAACGTTGTTGATTTTCTTTTTGATAATGATGAAAAAGTGGCTTCTTCCTCGGAAATGGCATTAGCCATATTCACGGGCTGGACAGTGTTGCAATCTATCTTCCTCTTGAATTTCCTCGTCTAGGATGCTAGGCGACCGGCCTTAGCCAACTTTTAAGACTCGGAAATGGCATTAGCCATATTTCTGGACAATGTTGCAATCTATCTTCCTCTTGAATTTCCTCGTCTAGGATGTCTCTAGGTCGGCTTTAGCCGAATTAGAAGCCTTGGATATGGCATTAGCCATATTCCGGGCAGTGTTGCAAAGCCTTCTTGCATGGCAGCTAAGGGAGCTGTCGAGGGTCCTTCACAAAGGAGAAACGCCAATCTTAGCGCCATTTTCCACAACAAATTGGACTTCAACAGTTCGATGGGTGATTCCAGAAAATATCCATACCATACCATGGGCGCAGGGGCGGAGGAGATTACTCTGTGACGCCTGGCACTTTTTTTGTGTTTGGATCATCCACCAAAGCGTGACCTCACATCCGCTAAAAAAGCGCGCTGAGCGGCAAAATCAAATTTGAATGCGACATGATCGTTCTCTCAGTGAGTAAAATGACAATATTTCGTAATCGGCGGGATATTTCTAACGTTTTATTTGGCCATGATAAACAATATTTTGTCGTCTTCCTCGTCATATCGTTTGTTTGAGGAACAGAACGATTATTTATTAAAAAACACGCTGGTTTGAAGGCGTGTGTTTTTACGAAATGTCGTCGTTCTTCTTCGCTGAATTCCACAGGAGTCATCGTTTGCGTGGAAATAATGAATTCTAGGTAAGTTGCACTC